ATGATTTGGTCACCATTTTCTCGTTCTCTGCCTCTCTCCAAAATCTATGGTTCCCAGTAAAGTCATTCGTCTGCCTTATTTCAGTCTTTAATTGATGTTATGATGGGAGGTTTGCAAAGCCTTTATTTTCCCTGAGCGACAGCAGGAGCAGCGGAGAGAGCTCGACAATCAGAGGAAATTCTGGCTCTGCCTTTCTTAGCTGCTAACCACAAGCAAGAGCTACCACTAATCTCCAACTTCCTCATATACTTGGCACCTCAGGTTACCTTCTATCAGTTTGTTGTAGAGATTAAATGAGATAACAAAAGTAGGCTGCTTGGTATTGATACAATGCCAGGTACAAAAAGGAGAAAAACAGTGAGAGAGCCTTCCTCCCTTTCTCCATCCATGATAGAAATCTTCAAACACAGATGCTCAGAACTGGGTACACTTGGTAATTTGTAAACAGTAACTTCCTCCAGTCTGAATAATTTACTACTATGGACTACTGAAAGGGTGTCACTCTTACTGCCTAGTAACTATCCTCAAACACAAGAGGACACGTGGACTCCCATTAAAAATGCAAACAAACAAACAAACAAAACAGTTAAAAAAGAAATACAGGTAAAACGTAAAAGAAACAAAAGCCAAAATCACAGAAAATGTAAGTTTTAATTGTATGGTGTTCTTAAATGGCCAAGATTTGGCTCATCCTTCCCACCCCCAACCTCTATTGCCACAGTTTATGGCAGGAAGGTTGGCCTCCATTCAGTGACTGTTCTTACTGTGGGATGTGATGACCTTATTTTTGTGGAAAATTGCTTTGAATTTTCTTGAGGTAATAGCCATTCTAGCGTAAACATACACTGTAATTTGTTTTTGGCTTTTCTTTTGCCAGGAGAAGTTGTGCATGCTTTCAGAAAGCCTCTTCCGCTCTCACTGCTGTTTTTCCAGAGAGATTCGGCTGGCAGTGTTATTTTATGGGCTACTTTATGCTTTGTGATTTTTCTGTGATTGACTCCTTGCACTGAAGCTAACGGGATTTGCTGATGTTAACTGAGGTTGTTTCATTCCTATGAAAAGCTCAGGCTTTAACTAGACAAATCTCAGATTGATAAAGATGCTTCAGATTCTGGATGACATCGAAATATGCACAGAATTTTATAGCAGGAGGTTTGAAAACCAGCTAAGAAAAGTTGAAGAGATTCACATTTTAACATCATTCTTCAGCTCACTGCATATTTCTAGAGTTTACTGAGAATGTAGAATAATAATGAATTGACTAATTTTGTGTGCTACGGTTGCCTCATTCTAACATAAGGGATTTAAACTAGGCAAGAGAATAGCTTAGTAAATGGGAAAACATTTGTCAAATGTAAAGCGTCTGTAGATATTTACCAGCTAACCCCCAGGTGGCCCCAGTAATCCTTGTCTCCTAGGACTCTCTTCTCCCAGTGTGTGTCCATGTTAAATAGCACCAGCCTGTTCAACCACAGAAAGCTACAGAAAACATGATGGGTGATTTCTAAGGTTAGATGACGAAAGATGTCACTGCTTATGCCTTGTTCTCATTGGGATCATTTGCTCTGGGGGAAACCAGCTTCTATGATGTGAACACAGACAAGTAGCTCTAAGAATAGATGCAGGCATCTTGACTGTAACCTCATCGAGACTGAGTCAGACCCATCAGCTAAGCCAATTCCAAAGTCACAGTCCACAGGAACAACCCAAGACAATCAATCTCTATTGTTGGCTAAAGCCAGTAAGTGTGGGGGCAATCTGTTATGTCTCCATAGTTAACCAATAGAAAATGGTGGTTCACTCATTTATTCCTCCATGCTTATAAAATATCATGTACTAGGCACTGAACTAGAAAGTCGGAAACAAAGGTAAAGTGAAAGTCGCTCAGTCGTGTCCGATTCTTTGTGACCCATGAACTGTACAGTCTATGAAATTCTCCAGGCCAGAATACTGGAGTGGGTAGCCTTTCCCTTCTCCAGGGGATCTTCCCAACCCAGGGATGGAACCCAGATCTCCCGCATTGCAGGCAGATTCTTTACCAGCTGAGCCACAAAGGAAGCCCCAAACAAAGGTAAAGAAGCATACAATTCTTTTGTTGGCTCACTGAATTATAACGACTTCAATTGTAAAAGTCCTATTGCCCTAATTCTTTATGATTAAGCAGCATTTTAAAAATCCTTGGGGAAACACAAAGCAGAAGGAAAGAAATTCACCTCAGCAACCTGGATAAATGCACTGTGATGATCACAACTTTCATTTTATTTCAAAATGTGCCCAAGCTAACTAATTTGATCAAAAACATATCTCATGAACCAGAGTCAAATGCTCAATCCTTGGCCTGGAAGTTTTCCCTTCTGTGGCTCAAATCAAAGCTCCTTACTTGGGCTTCCCTCTTCACCAGAGACAGACAGAGAGATGGTATACCCATGTGTTTCATCAGCAGGAAGAGAGAAACTAAATGCAAGCTAACGAAAACACAGAGAGCAAAGCAGCCCATCATTTTATACACATGTATACGGTGCACTTCTTACTATATTCTGAAACCATCTAAAGCAAGTTATAGCATCTATACAAGTTTCAAGCCTTAGGAAGATTTGTGCTCCATGGTTTAAATAATGCATTTTACAGATTTACCAAAGGTTACAGATAAAGCAGCTTACCCTCAGTCCCAGAACTCATTAATTCATGAAGCAGAAATATATAACACAGAATTCCAGTGTGGATGAATTTCCAAAATCCCTAAGTGGCATCTCAAGCGGTTTAAGAATCATAAGTAACGGAAATGTGGCTGAACTCACAGCTCTGGAAATTCTAATTTATGTTGATGCTGTCAACATCCTGTTGTTCCCTGAGTAAAAGTGTCAAATGTCTACTTGATACACAATATACCGAAGAGTGAAATAATTCCTCTCTGCCCACAAAAAGAGATAATGTGTGAATTTGACAATGTCACTTCAGAAAGCTGTATAATAGTCCTTCAAAACTACACTTTTGAGAGCGTAAAGAATAGCAATCTTGCCACAGGGCAATAAGGCTCTAAAATATAACTTTTAACCAGGCAAAGGTTCCCACATTTAGAGTCCAAAAAACCAAGATCTTGTAAAGCCCCTGAAAATCAGGTGCTGGAAGTGGGTGTCCTTTGATATTCAAAACTTTTTCACAGGAGGAAACTGACAGAGGCGGACAACAGCGGAGTTTGAACCATTTGATATCGCTGGGAAGGTAAGATCTCAATCTGGACTAGCCAGCTTTCATGTCCTTGTTTCTTAGCAAAATTTTAGGGCACTGCATAGTGCCAAAATGAATTTCATGATGTTCAGGATTGTTTTATTCACAGAAAGCACTATCTACATTTTTTAGGTTTAAAATTTATATTTGAAGAAACAAATATGAAAATATGACTTTCTTCATAATTTCATATGTGAATAGTGTTATTCCATTTAAAATCTAGTTAAAAAAAAGACAACAATCTTCATTTCTTCTTTGTTGGATTGATTTAAATGAAACAAAATAACCCCCCCTCAGAAAGTATTACTTACAGCCCAATTATAATTCACATTTAAATCCACTTAATATTTTAATAATTCTCCTTTATTGTTATGTTTTTCAAATGTAGGATTCAACCAAGTGAAATCACAAGTGCTTAGACATAACTTTAGAGAACCTGGGAAATTAAGCATATAAATACAGTTACTTAAGTTATTTTGATTATTCCAGTACAGTTTGGATGTTGGCCAAATTACTGTATACTTTTCATCTTGAAATGATGTCTAAATCAGTTATGTACTTTAAATTATAAATTTTGATCTAATAAAATCTCAGTCTAATGTCAAATTACCTTAAAATACAAATATGCAAAATGCCAGTTATATATATTACTAACTCTAACACCAAAGTGTGAATATAGTAGGTTTCATTTATAATGCCATTTCTATTTTCAATGCTAACTTTTTCATATTGGAAAGACACCTGTCTAATAAGGAAATATTTTGAGCATCTCAGATGTTCTGGCTGCTATCTCAAAAAGCTGGGGTTACCAACCAGCCTGTGGAATAATATCTACAGTAATACCTCCTTCACCAAAGAGGGATTCACTGAACCATTCTTCACAGTCACTTTGCTGAGGACTTCAGGCTATACTTTATAGATAGGACATTAACTTTTGTAAGTTAAGGATTAAAATATTATGATGCAATATTTTATTTCAGTATATGAATATCGAGATACTGCTAAAATTATAAATAAACTTTTTTACTGAATTTATTTTCTCAATTGTTTTCATTTTTCATATTCACAAGTCTTACAGTTACCTCAATGACATTCTACTGTATTTTCCATTCATCTCATAACTTTGGTGGTGCACAACTTTGATGTCATCAAGTGAAATGTGGAAGAGAGGTTTGTAAAATAATCAATACGGAAGTGCAGAAAATAATTACAACTGGAGGACTTTTAGTCGATTTAACACTATCATTGAGTCTCACCTAGAATGCTGGAACAGAGTTAGTGGCCTATAGATCTTTATAAGATGCTTTGCCAAAATTACATATGTCACAGTGGTGACATCCATTCTTCACATCATCCCTTTTGATGGACAGAAGATATTTTTATTTAATTATTTTTCAGTTCAGTTCAGTCACTCAGTCATGTCCGACTCTTTGCAACCCCATGAACCGCAGCATGCCAGGCCTCCCTAACCATCACCAACTCCCGGAGCTTGCTCAAACTCGTGTCCATTGAGTCGGTGATGCCATCCAACCATCTCATCCTGTGTCGTCCCCTTCTCCTCCTGCCCTCAATCTTTCCAGCATCAGGGTCTTTTCAAATGAGTCAGCTCTTAGCATCAGGTGGCCAAAGTCTTGGAGTAATTATTTTTACAATTAATATAAACAACGGTATTCAGCTTATGAATTTAACCTTAAAGGAAATCTTGATGGAATTGAATACTGCCTCCATGGTAGAAGGGAAAAATGGAAATTAAATTACATATAATAGAAAGGTTACCCTTCTGGTGCCATTTCAGTGGCAAGGAACCATTTCTTAAAAGAAACAACATCCCGGTGAGGATGTTGCCCCGAGAAATGAGCCACTTTGACTCCCACCAGCGCACTCAGCAGACCCTGCTCCCTGCAGGCCGTAAGTGCCGCAGACGGAGGGACTTCACGGGGCCTGCCTTCCTCGCCGCCCTGCAGGCGCAGAGCCCGGCCTGGCGTCGGCAGGCGCCGGCCGCTCCGGGTCTCCTGACCCGGGGCCTCCTGGGCTGCGCGGAGCTCCCGGGGCATTCTCCCCTGCACTGGTCGTTTCTGTGCCCCGGCTTTCACTTTTCATAAAAACCCGGGTTGTATTGGACTGACTAGGCATACTTTAACGACCTCAGCTTTATTAACATCACCAAGAAAGTTTCCCAAATGAGGTCACATTCGAGGGGTTCCAACAGGAGTGTAGACGTCAACATGTGAGCTTTGAGGGGCCTCAACTCAGTGCACACAACCGCTCTAGTGCTCAGAGCAGAAGGCCCTTCCGAGTGATTGAAACTCAACAGGAGCCAGTGCTAAGGCATCATCCCCCCCGGAGCGAAGTGTCTTGAAACCGAAGATGCAAGCATCTTTCTTGAAGGTAAAAGATGGAATACAGCGGTGCTGGGGAGACTGGTGAGGACAAGTCACTGGCCTGCCCATGAGGGAAGATTTAAGGAACAGCCATTCAAAACACTTTTACATAAACAGAGAAACTGTTTCCATGTTCTAGAGGGAGTTTAACAAGAGAGAGAGTTTCTGGAGAAGACCATGCCACCTCCGCATCTTCCCTGGCGGCTCCGTTGGTAAAGGATCCGCCTGCAGTGCTGGAGACCCGCGTTCGACCCCTGGGTGGGGAAGAGCCCCTGGAGAAGGGAAAGGCTACCCGCTCCAGTATTCTGGCCTGGAGAATTCCACGGACTGTATCATCCATGGGGTCCCAGAGTCAGACACGACTGAGCGACCTTCGCTTTGATCAGGGAGTCTTGCTTGGGAAATCCCCTGGACAGTGGGATGTGTAAAATCCCCAGGAGGCGGCGCTCATGAACCTCGATTCGGGGCTGCGGCTCTGCGGCTCCCCACAGGCCCCAAGTCACACTTCACTTTGAGGAACTACCTTGTCAAAAGCCAAGCACCTTTCTTTCTTTTTGGACTTCTTTATTTTTAGCTGAAGGATAATTGCTTTACAGTATTGCACTGGTTTCTACCAAACATCAACGTGATTCAGCCATGGGTTTATCCACGTCTTCTCCCACTTGAGCGTCCCTCCCACCTCGCTCACCATCCCGCCCTCTAGGTTTCCCCGAGCCCTGGTTTGAGTCCCCTGAGTCACAGAAAATTCCCTCTGGCTGTCTATTTTACACATGGTAATGCGTGTTTCCATGTTACTCTCTCCACACCTCCCACTGTCTCCTCCCCACAAGCCATGTCCATAAGCCTGTTCTCAATGTCTCTGTCTCCAGTGCTGTTCTGCAAAATCTCATCAGTAGCATCTTCATAGATTCTATATATACACGTTAGTATACGGCAAATGTTTTTCTGAATTTCTTCACTCTGTTTAATATGCTGTAAGCTATCTCAAGGAACTATTCTTTCAGGAATTCAATCAGGTCTTCCTCGGTGGCTCCGGGGTAAAATATCCACCTGCCAATGCAGAATACAAGCGTTTGATCACCTGTCCAGAAGGATTCCACATCAGTCGTTAAGTTTACTTGTTCTGTCGTGTCCGACTCTTTGATAGTCACGGACTACAGCACATAAGGCTTCCTTGTCCAACAAAAAATCCTGGAGCTTGCTCAAACTGGTGTCCATAATGAGCCAACCAACCATCTCATCCTCTGTTGTCCCCTTCTCCTCCCACCTTCAATCTTTCCCAGCATCACGGTCCCTTCCAATGAGTCAGTTCCTCACATCACCTGTCCAAAGTATTGGTTAATATGTTGTGTACGTTTGTCATAGCTTTTCTTCCAAGGAGTAAGTGTCTTTTTATTTCATGGCTGCAGTCACCATCTGCAGTGATTTTGGAGCCCAGAAAAATAAAGTCTGTCAGTTTCCATTGTTTCCCCATCTATTTGCCATGAAGTGATGGGGCCAGATGCCATGATCTTTGTTTTCTGAATGTTGAGTTTTAAGCCAGCATTTTCACTCTCCCCTTTCACTTTCATCAGGAGGCTCTTTAGTTCTTCATTTTCCGCCATAAGGATGATGTCTTCAGCATATCTGAGGTTATTGATATTTCTCCCAGCAATCTTTCTTCCAGCTTGTGCTTCATCCAGCCTGGTGTTTCACATGATGTGCGCTACATATACGTTAAATAAGCAGGTGACAATATACAGCCTTGTCATACTCTTTTGCCAATTTGGAACAGTCCATTTTTCCATGTCCGGTTCTAGGTTGCTTCTTCACCTACATACAGATTTCTCAGGAGTTGGTTAAGGTGGTCTGGTATTTCCATCTCTTTAAGAATTTTTCATAGTTTTTTGTGATCCACACAGTCAAAGACTTTGGCATAGTCAATAAAGCCATTGCTTTTTTCTGGAACTCTCTTGCTTTCTCCATGATCCAGCAGATGTTAGCAATTTGATATCTGGTTCCTCTGCCTTTTCTAAAACCAGCTTGTACATCTGGAAGTTCATGGTTCACATACTGCTGAAGCCTGGCTTGGAGAATTTTGAGCATTACTTTACTACTGTGTGAGATGAGTGCAGTTGTGTGGTAGTTTGAGCATTCTTTGGCGTTGCCTTTCTTTGGGATTGCAATGAAAATGACCTTTTCCAGTCCTGTGGCCACTGCTGAGTTTTCCAGATTTGCTGGCATATTGAGTGCAGCACTTTTCACAGCATCATCTTTGAGGATTTGAAACAGCTCAGCTGGAATTCCATCACCTCCAGTAGCTTTGTTCATAGTGATGCTTCCTAAGGCCCACTTGACTTCACATTCCAGGATGTCTGGCTCTAGGTGAGTGATCACACCAACATGGTTATCTGGGTCATGAAGATCTTTTTTGTGTAGTTCTTCTGTGTATTCTTGCCACCTTTTCTTAATATCATCTGCTTCTGTTAGGCCCATACCATTTTTGTCCTTTATTGTGCCCTTCTTTGCATGAAATGTTCCCTTGGTATCTCTAATTTTCTTGAGGAGATCTCTAGTCTTTCCAATTCTATTATTTTTCTCTATTTCTTTGCATTGATCACTGAGGCCTTCTTATCTCTCCTTTCTATTCTTTGGAACTCTGCATTAAAATGGGTATATCTTTCCTTTTTCCTTTGCCCTTTGCTTCTCTTCTTTTCACAGCTATATGTAAGGCCTCCTCAGACAACCACTGTGCCTTTTTGCATTTCTTTTTCTTCAGCATGGTTTTGATCACCTCCTCTTATACAATGTTGGTCTGTATTTCTTCAGGTACTCAGTCTATCAGATCTAATCCCTTGGATCTATTTGTCACTTCCACTGTATAATCATAAGGGATTTGATTTAGGTCATACCTGAATGGTCTAGTTGTTTTCCCTACTTTCTTCAATTTAACTCTGAATTTGGCAATAAGGAGTTCATGATCTGAGGCACAGTCAGCTCCTTGTCTTGTTTTTGCTGACTGTATAGAGCTTAATCAATCTGATTTTGGCATTGATCATCTGGTGATGTCCATGTGTCCAAGAGATGACAAGAGTCATCTCTTGTGTTTTTGGAAAAGGGTGTTTGCTATGACCAGTGCGTTCTCTTTGCAAAACTGTTAGCCTTTGAGTTTCTTTGCTTTTACTCCAAGGCCAAATTGCCTGTTACTCTAGGTATCTCTTGACTTCCTACTTTTGCATTCCAGTCCCCTATGATGAAAAGGACATCTTTTTTGATGTTAGTTCTAGAAGGTCTTGTAAGTCATCATAGAACCATTCAACTTCAGCTTCTTCAGCATTACTGGTTGGGGCATATTACTGCCTTGTCTAACTCAATGGAACTATGAGCCATTGCTGTGTAGGGCCACCCAAGGTGAACAGGTCACAGTGGGGCATTCTGTCAAAACATGGTCCACTGGGGAAGGGGATGGCAAACCAATTCAGCATTCTTGCCTTGAGAAGCCCACGACCAGCATGAGAAGCTGCCCTATGCTGCGGAGCAGCTGAGACCCTGAGACACAGCAGAAGACCTGGGCTCTGGAGCCCCGGGAGCCGAGGAGCCCCAGTGCCCGTGCTCCACAGGAGAAGCCACCACAAAGCAACTAGCAGACCCAGCACCGCCAAAATAAACAGGTGGATAAATAAAAATAAGATTACTAAAACAAGAATTCAATCAAAGTGCTGTAAAGTTAACTGATGGAAAAAAAAAAAAGGCCTAATATGCATTGAGAACTTAAATTCCCAGAATATTTGGCCTTTTGTACGTAATTATAACTTAATCTTTACCTCTTTGTGAGATATTTGTTATTATAATGCTAGATAAATTATTTTAAAGGAGATCTGGAGAGACTGAATGAGATGCCTGGGAAAGTAAATGCATAGCAGCACCTAGTCTTTTTGCTTCTGTGTAGTTGTTTGTTCAAGTTTTTCTCTGACTCAGTTCACAGTTTCACTACACCCCCTCCTTCAGAGTAAATCCTCTAATGTCCCAGATATCATTTTATCATCCTCATTACTAGGGTATCCTCAATAATAAGTATCTCTGAATCTGGGTTAAGGTTCAGAATAGTTCCCCCCCACCCCCCACCCCCACGTTCTCAGGACACAGAGCAATGCTATACTGAAAATAAACACTGGATGCAAATAGATCCAGTGGATCCCAACTTGGATCTAACTGGATTCAGTGGATCCCATATACATAAATTTCAGGCTACTCCTTGTGCAACTCCTCTGACTAGCCCAGGTCACAGTTCCGTCAGATACCAAAAGGAGAACGTTGCCCTTTCTACCCCAGCAAAGGGCTGTGTGCCTCACACTCATGCGTGTGAGCATGTGTCAGCTTAGCACACGCTCCACAGAGGTGCCTGAGCTTCATGCAGGTCTCATTCTAGACTCTCCAATGTGCGTACGCACACTGGTTTTAATAAGATCACAGATTTATACCTAAGAGAAAGAACACCAGCATTTCCTATTGGAAAAAAAAAAAGGTACATTTATATTAAAATTTTTAAAAAACAATGATACTCCAAAAGGGAAGATGCAAACAGTAGAAAGGAAAATAATTCTTGATGTAAGAACTTACTCAAATGAGCAGACATGAACTTAAATACATTTTAATTATATTATTTTAATCCAAATATAATCTAATGTTTCTTA